AGGACTTAAAGTCATGTACTTGTTCCGACATTTGGCCCTTGACTTTTTTGTCAACATCCTTGTTTCGACATACTCGAGTGTCTTAACCATACCTGCGGTCTTACAAATTCTCACCCTCATAAGAACTTAAGTCCTCAAAAGTTTGTTGTTCTTACCTTGTCTTGGGGTACTTATCCTTAGTTGTGTCCTTCCAAGTTTCTTGAGTGTCCATTTATAGGTTTGCCCTTCTTCGACATATCTTTATAATCAGCCCTGGTGCTCTTTGGTTCTCAACTTATGACTTAAGGCCATGCACTTATTCCGACATTTGTCCCATGACTTGTTAACATCCTTGTTTCGACGAACTCTATTGTCTCAACCTTACTTGGGGTCTCACAAATTCTCACCCTCTTAAGAACTCTCGTCCTTGAAAGTTCATTGTTCTTATCTTGTCTTGGAGTACTTATCCTTAGTTTTTTCCTTCCAAGTTCCTTAAGGGTGCATTTATAGGTTTTCCCATCTCCGACATGTCTTTATAAACAGCATCGTGCCCTTTAGTTCTTAACTTATGCCTTAAAGTCATGTACTTGTTCCGAAATCTGGCCCTTGACTGTCTTGTCAACATCCTTGTTCCGACATACTCGAGTGATTTAACCATACGTGCGGTCTAACAAATTCTCACACTCATAAGAACTTTAGTCCTCGAAAGTTCGTTGTTCTTACCTTGTCTAGGGGTACTTATCCTTAGTTGTGTCCTAACAAGGTACTTGAGGGTCCATTTAAAGGTTTGCTCTTCTTCGACATGTCTTTAATCAACCCTTGTGCTCTTTGGTTCTTACCTTATGACTTAAGGCCATGTACTTCTTCTGACTTTATCCCTTGACTTGTTAACGTCCTCGTTTCGACGTATTCGAGTGTCTCAACCATACTTGGTGTCTTACAAATTCTCACCCTCTTAAGAACTTTCGTCCTTGAAAGTTCATTGTTCTTATCTTGTCTTGGAGTACTTATCGTTAGTTTTGTCCTTCCAAGTTTCTTAAGGGTCCATTTATCGGTTTTCCCATCTCCGACATGTCTTTATAATCAACATTGTGCCCTTTAGTTCTTAACTTAGGACTTAAAGTCATGTACTTGTTCGGACATTTGGCCCTTGACTTTTTTGTCAACATCCTTGTTTCGACATACTCGAGTGTCTTAACTATACCTGCGGTCTTACAAATTCTCTCCCTCATAAGAACTTTAGTCCTCAAAAGTTTGTTGTTCTTACCTTGTCTTGGGGTACTTATCCTTAGTTGTGTCCTTCCAAGTTTCTTGAGGGTCCATTTATAGGTTTTCCCTTCTTCGACATATCTTTATAATCAGCCCTTGTGCTCTTTAATTCTTAACTTATGACTTAAGGCCATGTACTTATTCCGACATTTGTCCCACGGCTTGTTAACCTTTAATTCTTAACTTATGACTTAAGGCCATGTACTTATTCCGACATTTGTCCCACGGCTTGTTAACGTCCTCGTTTCGACGTATTCGAGTGTCTCAACCTTACTTGGGGTCTTACAAATTCTCACCCTCTTAAGAACTTTCGTCCTTGAAAGTTCATTGTTCTTATCTTGTCTTGGAGTACTTATCGTTAGTTTTNTCCTTCCAAGTTTCTTAAGGGTCCATTTATAGGTTTTCCCATCTCCGACATGTCTTTATAATCAACATTGTGCCCTTTAGTTCTTAACTTAGGACTTAAAGTCATGTACTTGTTCGGACATTTGGCCCTTGACTTTTTTGTCAACATCCTTGTTTCGACATACTCGAGTGTCTTAACTATACCTGCGGTCTTACAAATTCTCACCCTCATAAGAACTTTAGTACTCAAAAGTTTGTTGTTCTTACCTTGTCTTGGGGTACTTATCCTTAGTTGTGTCCTTCCAAGTTTCTTGAGGGTCCATTTATAGGTTTGCCCTTCTTCGACATATCTTTATAATCAGCCCTTGTGCTCTTTGATTCTTAACTTATGACTTAAGGCCATGTACTTATTCCGACATTTGTCCCACGGCTTGTTAACATCCTTGTTTCGACGAACTCTATTGTCTCAACCATACTTGGGGTCTTACAAATTCTCACCCTCTTAAGAACTTTCGTCCTTGAAAGTTCATTGTTCTTATCTTGTCTTGGAGTACTTATCCTTAGTTTTGTCCTTCCAAGTTTCTTAAGGGTCCATTTATAGGTTTTCCCATCTCCGACATGTCTTTATAATCAACTTTGTGCCCTTTAGTTCTTAACTTAGGCCTTAAAGTCATGTACTTGTTCCGACATTTGGCCTTTGGACTTTTTTGTCAACATCCTTGTTTCGACATACTCGAGTGTCTTAACTATACCTGCGGTCTTACAAATTCTCTCCCTCATAAGAACTTTAGTCCTCAAAAGTTTGTTGTTCTTACCTTGTCTTGGGGTACTTATCGTTAGTTGTGTCCTAACAAGTTTCTTGAGGGTCCATTTATAGGTTTGCCCTTCTTCGACATATCTTTATAATCAGCCCTTGTGCTCTTTGATTCTTAACTTAT